CATTTTATTTTATTTTCCCCTCGATGCTGGAGACATTCTCACTCTCACGAGTAATTCGGACTTACGCTACACCATCATTTGCAATTAGAGAGTTTTTTGCGTCTCGCTCGATCGAGCGATAGGACTGATGACCTACCCGGCAACGACAGCGGGCCGGTCACCTGTGGGAAAACTGTTAACAGTTATGGGCATTAAGGTTCATTCAGCCACAGGTTGTGGCGACGAGAGGAAAGGCGACCACCGACAAACAACCCATCGTCGCATACAAGGACAAGGTTAGCTAGTGTTGTTCCTCTGCCCATATGCCCCTCATAATACTTATTTGATAAACAGAAAGGCGACAATGGTCAATCTTCGCTCACAAAAGCGGCTTGCCGCATCGGTCTCTGGCGTCGGCCAGCGTAAAATCTGGCTCGATCCCAATGAACAGTCAGAGATCGGTAATGCCAACTCGCGGACTCACGTAAAGAAACTCATCAAGGATGGTCGCATCATCGTCAAGCCTACAACCGTCCACTCTCGTGCTCGCACCCTCCTTCTCCTGGCTGCTAAGCGCAAGGGTCGTCACACAGGCGTAGGAAAGCGGAAGGGTACGGCCGAGGCTCGTATGCCAACAAAGGTTCTTTGGATGAGACGGCAGCGTGTTCTTCGGAGATTACTTCGAAAATATCGTGAGGCAGGAAAGATTGATAAGCACCTGTGCGTTCTACTTTTTATCACACAGCCCTCTTTGATCTGATTGCACAACCCGCTCAATGCGAACAGCTATCATTCCCTCTACCAGAAGTCCAAGGGCAATGTCTTCAAGAACAAGCGTGTGTTGATGGAATATATCCATAAAGCAAAGGCGGAGAAGTCCCGTACAAAAGTCCTTTCCGACCAGATGGAGGCGCGCCGTATTAAGAATAAGGTGCGTCATCTATTCCTCAAGCCCCGAACAAATTGACGTTCGTACTAACAATATCTCATCCGTATCTTAGGCGGTTCGTGAGCGCCGTGCTGCGCGTATCGCAGAGAAGAGAGAGGCTATTCTTGCAGTGGAGCACGAGGGTGCCAAAGCATGAAATATATTTGATGTTTTGTTGTTGTTCCTCGATTTTTCCATTACTTTACGTCACACCACGCTGTATACGTGCCACCATGAACCGCACCAGGTCACTGCCAAGTTTGTCTGGATTTCCCAGTGTACGAGACTCGCCGTCTAGCCCTTGTTTGTGAGCGAATTTTCAGAGTGATTGAAATGGCGCGGTCCAAGCACGTTACCGCCAGGATGTTATACAGCCACCATGAGCCCTGCCGCAATACAATACGTCTCCAAAGACGGTGCCGATCGTAAGTCGATTCGACTAAAACTCCCGACCTCTCCAGTGAAAATGTGGATAGGAAAAGCCCACGTTCTCGATCGCCGCCCAGGTGAAGTCTTTGTGCACTATCTCGACACGGACAAGCGACTCGACGAGTGGGTTTCTGCGGATAATGTCCGTGCAACCTCTCTACCGCGGGATTCAGTATCCCCTGGCCATGAAACCTCTCCACCGCGACGCGTGAATGGTACGAGCACGCGCAAGCGGCGACGGTCGGCTCGCCTCCAAAAGCAAACGATTCTCGGGAAACGACCCAACCTCCCGCAGCTCTACCTACGATGGCCTCCACCCGGCGCAACTTTGACAAGGTCAATTTTGGGACCTGGCAGATCAAAACTTGGTGAGTGCGGTAGTTTCCGTTCCTTGTTTTTTCCTTTCCCTGCGGGAGGGATTAAGACTGTGGTGACCACGCGACTTACCCTCTGCCCATAGGTACTTTTCACCGTACCCACTCACGGACGGCGATGGTGAGGATGTTATCGGGCATGGACGCACGATGGACCTCTTCGCTGGCGCGGTCAATCGTGAGAATGCGAGCGACGTCTTGTGGGTGTGCGATCGGTGCTTCAAGTACATGACCGACGGCACATCTTGGGAGGTACACATGGTGCGTTTCGGTTCTCCCTTTTCCCAGGTCGTGCAGGGAATGCATATTGATCTCGCGGATGGTCACAGAGGAAGTGTACGCGCAAGCACCCACCAGGTAGGAAGGTATATCAAAGGGGTGCACACACGATTTGGGAGGTGGACGGCGCGAAGGAAAAGGTACGCATGATTTGATCGCTTTAATTGCCAGTTTTCTTTTCTTACTCCAAGAGAGCAGTTATATTGCCAGAACCTGTCACTGTTTGGAAAATTGTTTATCGACATCAAGACGCTTTTCTTCGACTGCGATAATTGTGAGCGCCCGCGTTTCTATTGATTACAGGACGTTGCTTATACACTCGAGCAGTCCTATTTTATATCTTCACCGATGCCGACTCCCAAAGGGATCATGTCCTTGGTTTCTTTTCAAAAGTAACTTGGACTCACTCGTTTGAGTACCTTTTCTAACCTGACTTCACAGGAGAAGATATCCTATGACGACTACAATCTCGCGTGTATCGTCGTTCTTCCTCCATACCAAAAGAAAGGTTATGGAATGCTCTTGATCGAGTTCAGTACGCGAATATCATTTCCCACCATGATCTTGGCTGACCTACTACATAGGTTACGAGCTTTCTCGCCGCGCAGGTCGCGTTGGAACTCCCGAACGTCCACTTTCTGATCTCGGTTTGCGTAGCTACCTTGCGTACTGGGTGTCCACCATCATCCGCTTCCTCCGGTACGCGCTCCAGTTTCCATCCACCCTGTTGCCCACCTCGCCCTTACTCTCGTATTCAACCAGCCAGCTTCTGTCCACGCTTCCGCCCGATCTGCCGCTAATCAAGACAGTCGGGCACCTTCCCGACCTCTCTCATGTCCGAACGAGCGTAGACATGACATCGTCCCCACAGAAACGTGCGAAACGCACCAAGGGCTGGGATGGCGAGTCCGCGACGCCTAGCTCGCCGGATGGTGGCGGCAGTGCATCGCCCGCAACGCGCGACAGCTTTGGTTTCGGCCCATTGGTTCCCACGGCAAACTTGCCGCTCGAAAGGATGTACGAGACCGTGCCCGCGCCGGACGGGAGTGCGGCGGTGCACACCGTGGTGCGCTGTACGCTTGCAGACCTGGCGCGCGCGACGAATCTGCGCGTCGAAGATGCCGCGTTTGCGCTGAATGAGTGTGGGCTACTCGTTCGAAGGGAGGGCGAGGGCGACGCGATGACGATCGCGATCTCGCGGGAAATGGTGGAGACTGTTGCGCAGGAGCGGAACGTCAAACGGATGTGTATCGACTTTACAAAGGTATTGCTGTGAAGTCCGCTCTCCGCATTCTTGTATGTAATAAGAAACATTCGTTGCCCGACCGTTGCCGAAGTGCGGTACCATCGCGAGGGGGAGAAGTTGGCAAAATCTACACAACCAGGCTTTTTTACTCGTACCACCATGCCCACAGACCCCGCTTAGATGATAATTCCAGAGCTTTGTTCCCTTTGGCTCTTGTACTAGCCCTATATTCTTTCAAAGGCAGGCAAGACTGAGCCATGTACTGACACGTACAGTGCACTCTTGCTGCCTTTCTCAGCCTCTGTCTCATGAAAGCACATTCTTTATATTACCCTCAGCAAAACCCTCAACTTCTTCAACATCCTCTCCACCCATAACAGTTACTGCAATGGGGTCAATGTGTCGGAGTGTCGGAACATAACATGTGTCAGGGGCTGAACCAACATTTTGGCTAGTCCACCTTCCTTTTTTGGCACTTTACGTCCACTTATCCTTCAAGCCTTATCTATACCCCATTTAGCCTTCCAATTATAATTAAATGGATGGATGACCTTTAGTGAAGGCACAGATGAGTACTTGTCACATCATTTCACATCTGATGTGACAAGCTTTTGATCTGTGCCTTCGGCAAAGGTCACCCATTGATTTAATTTAATTGGGAATGGATACATGACCTCAGTATATTAACTTCCATGGATTCTTCCTTTGCTGCGGCTGGAGTGCCCTACAGTCCTCCTTGCCAAAAACTCCGATCTATAGCTGCCTATCTGTTATTCAGAAGTTCTTATGTGTTTTTCCCCCTGTCCCCTCTATCTCCCCCTTGTTGTACTTAGTGGTCAAGGTGAACAATGTGCTAATGTGCTTAATTGCGGCAAGACTCTCTTTCTGTGCATAACCATGAACAGGCAATGAGAAGTCCCATTACTCCCATAGTGACTCATGTATGTGTCCTTGCTTGAGTCCTTCTCCCCACCCCCTTGTCGGAAGAGACCCCGGTACACACATGCCTCATGACTCTGATTGACTCATGTGAGTGCTGCAACACAATACTGTACCTCCTTGCAAAGCCATTGGTGACCACAACTACCACCCATAGCTTGCAGTCAAGTGTGGCACTCGTTACTCGTGTCCAATTAATATAGTGATTAATGAACAATATTTTTTAAAATATCCGAATCTCAACGAGCGAGACTTGCCAGGCTCGCGAGAGTACCATGCTGTCCTTCCCGGAGCTCCACTGCAGCGGTGGTGTGTACTCCCCCAGTCCCCAATTAGTAGCCCTCGATGCAGAATGACAGACTAATCCCGACGTGGTTGAAAGAGAATGAGAATCAGGCTTAGAATTAATGGGGTACAGGCGTAGCACAGCAGCACGCTCAGAGTCGCCTGTGGTGTATCACCGGTTGCCGCCCACAGTCGCAAAGCAGCGCCAACTTGAACGGTCCTAATGAAACACCAGTCTCGAGGAGAGCAGTCTCCGAAGCAAATCTTCAAGGAATGGGGACTTGAAGCAAGGAAGGATGGGAATGCGACACGACGAGGGAGGGCCGAGTGGGAAAAGCTGGTGAATGGGAAGGATCGCTAGCCAACTTTTGCGGCGTGTATCTTACAACAGGTCACACAAGAAAGAAATTCAGGAGCTGATGCTAGGTCTCGATTCCACGTGCTGTGAGGCAGAGAGGCAGCCGTGTTCGTATTCGTACCAGAGGAGGGTGTTGTATCGGGTTTCGTGAGGTACGCGTTCACCGAATCCACTTTGTGGATGGCCGGGGTAGCTCAGCTGGGAGAGCAACAGACTGAAGCCTAGCTGAAGCAGAACGCGCTGTCGGTTCGACAGCTCGCACCGCTATGGCAATCTGGAGGTCCCGTGTTCAATCCACGGTCCTGGCATTTTTTTTGCCACTTCTGAAGCCGGAGACGGCGAAAATACGCACGATGCGCATCGTAAGAAAATCTGCATAAGTCAGTGTAACTTACGAAAGCACTGCAACGCGATGGTCCCGCTGATGACTAATTATTAAGATTCAATGCGGCCACAGTCAAGCTGCAGTGTCGCCTCCCGAAGAACTACAATGGTTCATCATAAAGCCAGGAAGATAACTTCACAGACAAGGGATATGTGTATGTCTGGATATCCTCGAACGATCTTGTCAGCTAAATCCAGCGGTGAACCACCGAAGTACGGCGCAGTGCAAACTGTGAAATGGAATCCATTCAACACGGAAATTCATACAACAGCCTGCTATATGAATGACACCAGCCAATCCGTTCTGCTCTCTCTCCTCTGGCAATGCCCTTCTTGATTCCAGGTTCCCGTATGTCGATGGCTCTCCGGGCCTCTCCAGTAAGCGTACACTCTCGGTGCTTACCTATGAGCAATATCAACCGTCTGACTCGTCCCGAGGTCCTTGGGCCTCCATCTCCCCCCCAGTCAGCGTGCGAGTCTGTGACCCCCCGCTCTCAAGCGTTTCTAGATACCCCGCCCGTTTTGGATGCAGATATTTTCGATTCGGTTCCCTTCTCGGTAAGTGTTTGCCGCCGCGGAGTGTTCGACCACGGACGCAATACTGATCCCTTCGTCGTCGCAGGCCTCGTTCTCGGCGTTTCTGGACTCCCCTACACAACACGCCACCATCACCCCAGACACTGCCCCGGTTCCCGTCAAGGATGCCAAGCGATTGTCGAGTCGAGCTGAGGCTAGCTACTACGTCGAGGTATACGATTTCTGCGCAGGACATACACATACAGAGTGCTGATACTTGTCGAAGCAACTTACGAACATTCGAGATATTGACTCTGAGTGGGAGGACGATGAAGTCGAGGCAAGCGCATCTTAGACTCTGGTTTCATCCACGCTCAGCTTCCTATTTCCTATTTATAGGAAGTCATGATCATCTCGCCAAAACCCAGGACGCCTACTGCGCTCAACGGTTCGTCACTGGCCCATGTTCTACCCACACCCCCTTTTAGCCCGCCAGTGGAACCTCCTGAGCACGTGGTCCCACAAGAATCCTATACTATCTTGCGGACATTGCATCGTACGCAGACTTCAAACCTCTCCCTTGCGGTCTCATCTGGCTGTGCTACATCAACCAAGAAGGCCACGCTTCGCCACGCCCTATATGCGATCCGCACATACCGCCTGCCTCTGTCTCGTGCAGCACTCGCTGAACGTGCTGCACTCGAGGTGCTATCCAATTTCATCGGCGGGAAAATCCGTATGTCCAGCGTGCGTCACGATTCTGGGATGACGGCCAGAGACTCTACATCGTGCTGGAGCATTGTGGGGGCGGGAACTTGATGAGCCTCATACAAGTTGAAGGCCCTGTAGACAGCACACGCATGAAGCGATGGACATGCGAGATTGTAAGCTTTAGGTAATCGCTCTCTCCTCTATGTTCACTCACTGAGTCTTGGCAGGCTTCTGGGATCGGCTTCATACACCGTGCTGGCATAATACATAGTGACATCCGACCATCAACAGTCCTTTTCCGTGTAAATGGACACGTTTGTATAAGTGGGTTTGAAAATGCTACCGTGATCGCCACGCGTCAAAATGCGCCGCCATCTATCGAAGAGAGACAGCGCGGCTTACTTGCGAGCGCACGCGAATGGTGCGAGGCTCCCGAGATGCTCCTCGGCTGGGAGATAGGGCTTGAGGTGGACTGTTGGGCGTTAGGGATTATTTTGGTATGGATGATTACGGGAAAGGTATATCTCGCGCCGAGTTGTGCGATCATTGTGAACTGACATTTTGTCCATTTAGCAACCGTGGTACCACAGCACCCGAGAGCACCCTAATATGATCCGAGATTGTATTCTAAACGGTCATTTGCCTGTCGCTCCGTTAGAGGGAGTCGACGCAACCGTCAAACATGTGATCACGAAGGTGAGCTCCTGATTAAACGACAGACGAAGAATGTATTTGAAATCGTGATACACCATGCAGTGTCTCGACCGCAACCCTTCCAAGAGGCCTACGATCGAACAAATTAAGAAATTTGAATACTTTGCAAATATGTATGTCCTCATCGTCCTCGCGTTGGTCCGCAGTAGTTTATAATCTGATCTTAGCGACTGGGACAACATGTTCCTGGGACGTGTCCCGGATATCCGGATCACTCTCCCCACACCTGACATGACATCCGATGTGCCAGGAGACATGCCCAGCACCATCATTGCTCCTGATCTCTCTCTTAGCACGATGGATACAGAGATAGAAATCGAACGCTCGTTTCCATGGACCCCAGCACGCATCAGCCGATCGGTGGGGCTTGTCTCTCCGGGTGCCAACACGATAGCCTCGGGCCAGTCAGCAGTTCTATCACGTGTACCAATGGCACCACTCTTCCCAGGCCGGCCGCGAAACCCCTCACCACCATCTTTGCCGGGTAGTATGGGAGGCGGTGATACGCCGACGTTACAGCGTCAACAGAATGAGGAACAAGTAAACGAATCCTTCCTGCCCGAGCTAAGCGAGGGGGACGGCGCTATTCACGTAGGGTTGGGTGTATGCGTCGATGAGTTTGGCACGTTCATATCTGAGGATGAGCAAGGATTAGAGGATGAATCTCGAGCGGACATGGGCGGGTCTCCGCAAATAAGCCTGCAAGATGCGCTCGCCATGCCCATTCCGCTGCTGGTCACACCACGCACGAGCGAACTGGACCTGCGCGGTTTCTCCGAGTCGGGTTGGACGCCGTCGCGCCTCCCCGCCCGTCTATTCCGCTGGCGTGGCAATGCTGGCGCTGGTATCGCGCGAGACGTGGCTGTAGATTCACGTGGAGAGAGGGACCAGGGACTACCGGAACTCTCATGGCATGGTCTGGACGCAGACCCGTTCCGCTGTTCTCCGCTACCATCAGTCCCGACCGAGGATCGAGAGCTGAGTACCGGCGGAGAAGGGACAGAAGGCGTATTATTCGAAGACGTCGCGAGCTCACGGCGCATGGACGCGACATTCCGCTGGAGCACTGCGTCGCTTGAGATGGGAGTCCCGCCGCATACGATGGGAGGTCAGCAAAACGATGCGCATGCGCATATGATGTCCTTCGCGGGGCTGAGCGCTCTGACACGCCGAATCCGCGAGCAGGGACGTGCGCTCCTGCGCAAGTCTCACTCACATATTTCTTTTCCACGTCCACGCTTCCCCGGTCTGTCATCGCGCGCTCATCCTCATCACCCGCCTCATTCTCCGTTGCCTCCACCGATGGCGGGCTTTGCCACTGCAATCGAGGGAGGGGGCTTCGGGAGCGTGCGGCGCATCGGGTTGGGAATCGGGTACTCACTCCCGAGTCCGGGTTTGACCCCACAGCAAGCGCGTAGTACCACATGTTTGCCTGCTTCCGCCACCTCCCCCCGCCAGTCTGCTGGGCGTGAGGTCGTCCAAGGTACAGTTCAGGCAGGATGTTACGCAGGACTGGGCGGTGGCCGACGTGGGAAGAAGAAGAGTGCTACACAACAGGTAGAGCAACAAGTCGAAGAGCAGCAGCAGCAAGAGCGGGAACGAGTGAAAGGCGCCGACGACAAGTCTTGCACCGATGGGCGCGCAGGATGTGAGGCAGTAGCTGGGGCATCGCCGTGTGGATCGGAGAAGGTGCTAATACTTGGGAACCCTGGATTTGGTGGAGCTGTTGCGGTGGAGGATGCTACAAAGTCGAATGTGTAGCAAGCCGCACCCTTCTCGCGCGAATCTGCGACACCGGCGGCAGCTTGACTAAGTCTCAGAAGAAGTCGATCGCTGCTCTCTCTTGTCGCTTCGGCAACGGGTGGCACTCAGCTGACCTTTAGAGCACAAGCAATCGTCTCTTTCTTCTTCTTCCCTTCTTTTTTCAAATCGCGTCGCGGCACGTTTCCCTCCTTTTCTTTCCTCTTTCGGTTTTCGTTTGTCTACTTTCGTACCTTTTTCTTGGGCGTCATGCGTCATGGCTTCGCATCGCGCAACTCTGTGTATGTGTTTTCCAAGTAGAGATAGAATAGCATCCTTGTTTACGCTGTTTCCGCTTACATCCCTTCTTTGTTTTTTAGTCGCATCCTTCACACGAATTCATCGGGTACATGATAACATCTCGTCCCTCGCCCTTAGCGAACAGGGACCGAAACAGTAAAGCAGAGCCGGTGAAAGAGGTATTCCAGGGGGTCTGATGATATCTGTCATATCAGAACTGTCATTATTGTCCTAGGTGAGTGAGGAGCTAAAGTGGCGTCGGGTAAGAGCTGGATCGAACGGAAGACCGGAAGCGAGAAATCTGCAAAGTTCAGATGCTGTGTCATGAACATTCGAAGCGAGATAAAACGACTTTGTAACGATACGCGTACAATATCGGAAAGAAGTCAGTCGACTAACAAGCGGCCGCTTAATATCGTCACGAAGCATCGAAAGGTATCGTAGAGTAGGTTGGAGCAGAATCGCGGCATTTATGCGTTTATGTCCGGTTGAGCGACTCGGTCCTACCCAACAGACATGATCTCGTTAGATTTTGATTGCGACAATCACGGACTGAGCAAAGAGAGAGAGAACATCGAATCGGCAGGAAGAAGTACCACGAGGAGTGTCCCGGAGCGTCCCGGTGGGGATCGTGCGAGCATATGGATGCATTAAGCGTTGTCGAGTTACCCGTTTGGCGTAGTTGGTGGAACCACCAGGGTCCGAGATAACTTATAGCATGGACGTCGGAGGGAGGATCGCATTGTAATAAGCCGTGAAAAATGGGGAAACAGTACAGATGACACTAATAAGTCACATCGGCAACGACCCGATCAATATAGATCGATGAACGGAGGCCGTCTAAATAAAATAAAAAATGCGGCTTTTTTCGGAAGAATGAGCTAGCCCGTGAGAGATAGAGAGAGAGATTGAGGACAAGAAGAGAGAGAGAGCAAAAAAATAT